AGGTGGTGTAGCAGCAAGTGGCGCCACTTCCCACGCACGCCGTGCAGAGTTCGAATTCTGGAGAATCGAGTCTCGCCCATGCCTTGCATCCCTCTGGGGTCGGTCAATTGGGTTTCAAATGCCACTATGAATGTACAAATGGAAGTAGAATGCGTGCCGCAACCAAAAAGGGATTGGTCAATTGCGGATGCTTTACTGTTTACACCGTAACCGTGACGCGATTTTCAGATTCCCCACTCCCCTCCCTAGGTCCAAACCGCTGTCTTACGTTGACGTCTTCATGCTATAACGACGAACACCAATTACCCACTTTATCGAATTACGGCGCGGTGACTGGTTTCGGCGGTCGAGACATTTGCCCGAATGTTCTTAGATCACATTGAGATCGTCCACCAGGAACCAATCTTACGAACCTGATTTCTCCTTACAGACAGACCCATGGAAGTAATTATTTCTGAGTAGTGAACGCATGAAAATGAATTCCCATGTTTCCCACTCTAACGGGAACATGCAAATAACAGAGCCTCTGTAGGTGGAACTACCAGAACTTATGGTTAGAAGGGTGGTAACCCGCATGACGGACTCACTCACTCTCTAACAAAACACAGACTCTATGGATGTTTCTGCGAAAGAGTCTCTATTTTGTGTGAGGTAACATTCCTTGCCCTGCCGATTTCCATCTCATTTCCTGTTCGCTTACTGGAGTTCCCGCGGAGCTTAAATACTGCTTACTGCATTCCTATCCGAAATCGATATAAATCTGTTTGTATCCCGACACAGGTATGTTTAAGCTCTCATGGGTGGTCCTCTATGGGGGGGGGTGGCTGAACCGCCGCACAGTGATGTCCGTTGCACTAAACAACTGAGCGACTGATCGCGATGTTTGAAGCCTTGTCACGAAACCGATCCTGTCGGCGCTGATGTTATGGTGTTTTACAAACTGCTGATAGCGCCACAACTGCGCTGCGTCGCAATCATGAGTGGGCAGGTTGTGTGTGTGTTCAGCTGTGACGGCATCGCTTTTTGATCCGTTTCGTCAGCATTAGCTGGATGAAAACACATGGCTAATTAGGGGACGTTTCTCCTCATTAGGTCAGGTCCCCAGATGCTGCGCGAGTTAGGCTTTAAGCTTGGCTACAAGCCAATCAGGAAGTTATACTAACCGGTGGAGTCCATGGTCTGACGCAGGGTGAATAACGGTCGAGGAAATCCTCGACCATAGCTCTCTACCATGCGAGAGTAGTGCCGAGAGTGAACATCCGCGCGGAGAGCACAGACGGCACGGCATGGCGAGTGTGAATGTCCGCGCGAGAGATCGTCTCTGATCGGGCAGAGAATCCTCGACGTGCCGTTGAGGAATCCTCAAGCGATATTCACTGTCTGGTACTGACGTAAAGACTGGAGAGACTGCCCCTCGGTTTACTCTGCGAGCGTACGTCAAATAAGAACCTATATGTTTCGGTTTTGTTTGCTTCTTCAAACCTGACCTTCATCCAAGGCCGACGTCATAGTTTGCGAATCGAGCGATTCCTTAGCGAATCGCCCGATTCGCAAACTATGACATCGTCCTAACGGCAAGTGTGAAACGGAACCGCACTTATTCTATTCTTCCTCCCCAAATTTTTAGATTCAATGTGTTTACGCAATCTAATTATTTTCTTTATTTATGAGGCGATGAATGCGGTAAACGAGATCAGTTCTTGTTGGCATAGTTTACACGGAGCGAACGGCCATTGAAATCCGTTCCATTGAGAGTGTTGACTGCATTTTGAGCTCCGGCCTCATCAGAGAACTCACAGAATCCAAAACCCTTTGGGCGACCAGTTTCACGATCGTAGACGATTCTGAGAGTAAATTCAATTATTTCACAGAAATTACTGGGAAAATCCTCGTATGCCCTAACCTCACGTGGTACACTGTGTCCAGCTTGGGCTGAAGTGGTTTGCGGCGATGGCATCCTCAGTAGTCTGGTAAGTGATGTTTCCAACTAAAATAAAAGGCTCGATTTATTATTGTGAAAGATATGAATCCTAAAGAAATAAAACCGATACCAGTCAGTTATAGTCGGTAATAAGGCCATTACAGAGCAAAGGCACCCTACCTAGTCCTAACCTAGTCTACGGGGAGCATGCAAAAATACTAATCCCAATCACTTAAGTGTCAATTCCCTCTACCGTTGTTGGCGACGGCGCTGTCGCTTCCACGGTGATGTCCTTTCGTCCATTTCGATCAGGACTACGTTGACATTTGATTGGGATAATTATAAATTAACGTTATAGCCTTTATGGCCACCGACGGTCGTTGTTTCCTGCAATATCGGAATGTTTTCGAAGGCCACTGGAACCATTGAGAACACCGATGAAGCATAATTAATGCTTAATTCAAATGTAGGAATGCTGTAAATTTGTGGATCTTTAGGCTGTCGTGCAGTTGGAGGGGCATTTTGTGTGCACTTCTCCGTGCCATTTGTGCCAAAGTGCCCCCTCCAACTACACTTGGCCAATCTTTGTTTCAGGAAAAAGAACTTACAACTTTAACAATGAGCGCAAATTGCCCTTTCAAAAAAGCAAAATACTTAGGCTGTAGACAGAAGTGGCCGAGTAGCGCATTCGCATGTGCCATCTTTGTTTGAAGGAGTTGGGAAGGGAGAAAGGAAAAAATCGGCACGCGGCAACGAACAAGACAGATGCTGTTAGTTGAACACGCCAGCACCGTCGCAATCAGCGTGTCGTTCGGGATGGGCGGCACGCTCCGCCCCATCGGCGACTCATTCCGAACATCTACGGTAGGAATGTGGGGACGTTCAAACGCATGTTTTCCATCTGCTTGCGGGGCAAATCAGAGAGAAAAGGATGTGAAACACTAGTTAGAAAACGGTGGGCAAAAGAAAACTGTGAAACCAATGAGGCTTAGAGACGAACAGACGAGCGGAACAACCGAGAGACTGAGCAGAAATGACAGGACTAAAGAGCAAGCCCCAGTTTGTGTTGCAGCTTCTGTCCAAAAATGTAGCGCAAATGTGATATTTAAACGAGGATAGGCCAGATAAGGGCGAGTTGGACGGGTTCGCCACGCAGAACAGGGGATGAGGACATGTTATCGCCAGGTTTGCAAATCTCTGTCGTTTGGTTGAGACTGAGCGACGGGCCTATTTGTGTGTAGTCGGCTGGCCACTCGATTTCATCGTTTGCGTGATTCACCTCAGCAAAAGGAGGAGAAAAATCTCGCTAGGACCATTTGTAGGCTTGCGCTTGGTATACCCCCATCGCTATTTTGTCATGGAAATCGGATATACCAACCAACCCCCCTAGCGAAGGGGAACAGAAGAATCCTTTCACTTTTCTCTGTCTTCCCAACCAAATGGCGCTACTCGGCAATACTACAGGGCAGCTGTGGTGGCACTGCATTTGAAACTGCGTAAAACGTTTCCTTTTTGTTAAAAATTGGACTCAGCCTTAAGGCAGCAGAGGCGAGTCTCCAGGGCGCGTGAGCCATTGTCTTTCCCTGGAGTTTCTGCTCCCTCCTCCTTCTGTCCTGAAGGATGCCCCCCGTATTTGTGCTGCCGGAATTTTCTCAACAAAGAGCCGCAGTTCACATTATGTAAGGTTGAAGGTAATGTGTGTTGTCTGTAGGGAACGTGTCGTTGAAACCAAAAAATTTAAGAATATATTTTCTTACGCCTAGAAAGAAATCGCTGTAGGGTTAGTTACGGCCGCGGGAGATCCGAAATGCAGTGCGTAAGCACTACAAGAGTGAACCCCACTGATCAAAATGGCTTGTTATCCTCAGGAAGTCATAAAATAAGCATCTCCTTACCGTAGTCAGGAACACGACCCCCGTGCAGCATAAGGTCGTTCTCGTCCCAGGTACTTCGATTTCATCAAAAACATTTCAATATTCCTGGCGAACAGTTCCGCCATCACCTTCTAACAAACAAACGTCAGCCTGCGCTCCGCGGCCAATACATGCTCAACCAAAACTTATTATCGATTACGATACATTCTATCACTTGTCGCATAGGTTGAGTGTTCCGCTTTGCTGGGGCCCTTATGGCTGCATAGTGGCGATTGTGTTAGAGCTTGTCGAATTGGTAACGTTAAAAGAAGTGGAATTGAGAACATGGAATGAGTGGGGGAATGTGGTTGTTGCAATTGCATATATGCACTGTAATAAGTAGTAACTTTTTTTTCTTTTTTGGTTATAAACAGTCTATGTCTGCTCGCCTGCTGTCTGACCTCACAGGACAGTGACGCAGTGACAACTGGTTAGTTGATTGCGGAGGTCGTTTGTTTAATCCATTTGATGGTGACGCATTTATTTATTACTTGATATCTCCTCCACTATAAGCTATCGAAACACTATCTGGATCTCATTAATTTCAAGATTCTAATTCATAATATAGTAACTACATTGTAGTCATTAGTTATATGTAATTATGATTGTTGTTTGGTCGTAAGAGGGGTGACGAATAGGGCGCCGTTTTTAGGTTTCGGCCATCACCATCTTTCGTCATGCTACCATTTCAGTTTTTAATGGAGTATTGATATGGGAAGGCGTTTTTCTGTCTCGTTTTGCCTCATTAATCGCTTATTCACAATGGTATTACCCGAGCGTTGAGCTTTGTTCACCAATGAATCGGATCTAAACTAAACCGGCAAAAAATTTCGTATTTCCGCAACATCACTATTTTTCAACTGTTTTATGTGTTGTTTTTTCTGCGTATTTACATCATTGAAAGCTCATCCTTGTAGGAGAGAAAACCCGGACGAAATGTGAAGGAAGGGGAATGGCTCACCCACCCCGAAGATTCCCTCCCCTGCAAAAATACCTTTGATTCGTAAAATTATCTCACAAAGCTTGCTTTCTGTTAGTACTGTGATCTTGCGATTTGTCTGGCAGTGATCTTGCATCCTGATGTCTCGTACCCGCCTGTGTTGTCTTTCGACTTTTGACTGTTGACAATATTTTACAGAGCAATCCTTTTCCTGTGTCATTTTCAGATGCCGCTCATCAAACGAGCGGTTTCTCCAGTAAATGTCAGTCGGGTAAAGATACCGCCTGAAGTGACCAACGGCGAGCTTCAATATGTAGCGAACAGCACCTTGGCCAATTTAATAAGGCAACTTAGTTCCATCAGTAAGCACGCCGAACACATATTCGGCGAGATTTACTTGGAAGCAATGAAACTCGACCATAAGTCGAATACGTTGGAGAAGCGAATCACGAACCTTACCGAAAAAGTGTCGAAGCTCGACTCAACTAATGAACAAGGTATGCTACATTTTTTGAACCCTGTCAATAATTATTTTAACCGCTGCCGTAATATGAATTTGTCTTGCGCTTGCGCGATTTTTTAAAACTGGGGGCGGGCCAATCGCCCCTCGCATGTGCACTTTGCCGATTGCATTATCTCTTTCCAATAGCGCTACGCACGAGCGCGATCGCGATTGCCCATCGCTTGTCGGTCGCTCTCACAATCGGCCGAGTCCTGACGGACATCTCCCTACTCGAAGCAATCTTTATGCCCGTAGTTAAGGAGGTGCTCCGCCAGCTTTCTAACGATTTGGGGGCGGCGCCGGCGGCAAACCCGCGCGTTCGCGCCGAGTAATGCGGCACGCCCCCCCGCCGCCCAGCCCCCCGCCCCCCCCCCGCACCCCCCATCAGCTTGCCTGGGGCTGTATGCTATCCTTCCCCTAAGCTAGGTGATCTAAAGTTTCCTTTGAATTTATTTGATTAGTAGGGTATAGTTTCTTCATTTTCGTCGTATAACTTTTACCTAAGCATAATACAGTCAAATTAAGTACTCATTATCGGCGATCCAGTTGGGAAACAAGAGAAATTTCAAAGAATTCCGGCGCCCTAACGCCTCTTCGGGAAGGATAGCACCAGCCCTGAATCATTCGACGTTAGAAACCAAATTTTTTTTTTTTTTTTAAAAAAAAAAAAAAAAAAAAAAAAAAAAATTTAAAAAAATTTACGTGTTAGTTCACCGATCTCAACGACACGTAATGTAACGTCGAATACTCAGGCAAGCTGATGCCGCACTACTCAGCCGCGACCGCCGCGGGTTCGTCGCGGCCGCGCCCCAAATCGTGAAGAAAGTCGGGGAGCCGAGTGGGTTGGCTGCGTCTATCGGGCCCGCGGACAGTAAAGTACAACAAGCGTTGTCGTCATGTATAGCAAGGGCCTGGCTGCTGGTGAGTCCATGTTGAAGAAGTTTATAGGCCGATATACTCTCTCTCTCTAGTCCCACCCACTACCCTTTCTGCAATGGGACCTGGAACTCCCTACTACCTACGTCTACTTGGCTATAACCAGCAGTACCTCACTTCTTCCAAAAAGGATAGTTGAGCGGGAACAAAGACACCACAGTGTGTTTACGCTTGAAAATGAAGCTTTTTTTGTACTTTGTTAATCAGTTTACTCTGATTTGATCGGTTGCGACGCAACACTTGTTCCTTTGAATTTCACTTCCAGTGAGCAGTGCGGCGAACAAGTTCTGCTAAGGAAGCTCTAGTGAAGAAAAACTCACGGAGTTCATTTTGCAAGTCATTGCATTAATGAGGACATCGCCGTTTTTGAATATCTTTGGATTGATTCTCCACCGCAAGGCTTCCTGATTAAGACGCGCTTCAATGGCTGGATTGGCTGTAGTTAGGATTGAAACTCACACTGCCTTAGACTGATGGTTCTCGTGTACGCCTGCGGTTGTGGAAATATCTCGAAATTTTCGCGGTTTCATGAACCTTTTCTGGCTCAGCTAAAAGTCTTCATTAATGTTCTAAGGAAGATGAGATAATTGCTTCATAAACTTCATTGCGAGTCTTTTTTCACCGTGGGTTTTATGATGAACCTACGCTATCGCCCGATTAATCCCGCATTAGGTTGGAGAGGAGCTAAGGTTCAGAGCTACCTTGAGGCGTGGGCTACCTTTAAGCTTGCCACCATTTGACTTAAGCGAACATCTGCCTGGGCAGTAAGTTTTTCATGAGTTTCTCGTCCATCAAGAGAATTTGTCCATTTGGTTTCGCTAAAATGGGGCAGAACAATGCCTGTGTCTAAGCGCCAGTTTGGGAGAGGCTGCGCTGAGGAAGGCCGTTCAAGAAGTTCCATGTTGGTGGACGCAGCATACGCTCGATCGTACACCAGCGTTACCGGTAGCCCTTGCTGAGGTGTACTCACGTTGTGATCCTCCTCCTAATCTCGATGCTCTTAACCCCTTTCAGGTACTAGTTCAATCATTTCTTTCATGAAGATGTATTTAGCATTTTTGGTTGGAAAGGTCAGCGTTTTATTATACAAATGGATGCAACATGATATGATTTTGCAGAGATCCTGGTGCTCCCAGTGCCTTATCTCTCTACACCAATCCGTCATTCTTCTTCGACCTCTGGAGACAAGAAATGCTCAAGGTAGTCCTTTTTTGATGTTTTCATGGAGACAGTAAAATATAGAAATAGGATTCTGGAATTCCGTCACATCACCCTATCCAGTAACTTTGTTGATTATGTTGATAGGGCCTCTATACGTTAGTCGTTCGTCCGACCAACGATCGCACAGCATTAGATAGGTATCGATCGTTTGAAGTGCGACACATGCGATCACGATCGTTACGATCGCATGTTTCGCACGATCGATGCTCATCTACTACTCCAAATTCGAATAATTGGACTTTTGAAATACCTTAACGCGCAGTCACGTGTGGGATGGGTTTGCATTGGATCATCGCGTCACTGTCCGCTCCGCGACGCGCGCTTATACGACGTCACGATCGTCAGATCAGGCCGACGACCTATAAGTGCGTCCTATGGGACCATATTGATCTCGCAGCGGCGCCTAATTTGACAAGTTGTGTCCGTTTTTCCTTGCACTTTGGAATGTTTCCCTCTGAAGTTCACCCTTGTACATGATTTCGCCGTTCCCTGGTACGCCCTTCCACGATTGAAATGGGATTGATCTGAGGCTTGACCACTGAACATAAAAACAGGCCGTGAAATGTGTCAGAAGGTTTCTAATCGTAGCCCCAGGATTCCTAATTTAAGTTGTCGGCTGAAAGTTGTCGCTGCTATCGTTTGATACTGCTTTTAGTATCATTTCTAAATATCGTTCAACCACTCAATTTTTAGGACTGTGCGGATAACACGGCTAGGAGACGAATCAAATCTCCACCTCCAGATGGTCTCAATATGGCGAGAAGTCCGAAAAAGCGGCGACAACGCTTACCACCGCAACAACAAGAAGTACCCAGGCAGCAAGCGGCGAGGTATGGTAAAAACTAGTTTTCCAAGTTTGTTATTTTGAGTCTTCTCATTTGTTGAATCTGAAAATTGTTTGTTGAAGCCTAAATTTTAGTTCCTAGTGAAGTACATGCACTTGTCTAAGTATTAATTTTTGAGGTATATGTCGTCTCTTCGAAACGCTCGCTCCACAGCACTTTCATTTCCGGATGAGTATCAAGCCCCACAAGCTTTGGGTCTCCAACTTCACAAAACCAGTCAGATCCAGCACTTCCAAGTGAGCTCTCAATTTTTCTGGAACTGATTATCCAGTTTAATGATTTCAATCTAACTTGTTTTTCTCATTGGCTATTCGTGCAACAGTTCACGGTCATTTCAGCCTGTTCAAACATCGACTCCCTCGCAAACAGGCGGCATGAGCATTCGTGCTGCACCAGCTCCGGAGAACAGACAACGAGCAAATCTTTCACCACCAAAGGAGCTCAAGGTGTGTTGTTGCTTGCCATACCGTCCCCTGATCACCTTTTATTGGGTAAGGGTCGCTAGGAGAGCAATGGACTTTTTTGATTCAGCGCGAAACTTTATAAGCTGCCGGAACCCTTATTCACCTGAGATCATGAGTGAATCTGGAGTTTCAGCAGCGAAAGTTTTGCTAGTTAAGCGAAAAAGTCGGCTTCTGTCCAAGCGACCCACCCCTTTATTTTTTCCAACCAAAGGGGAGTTTTTTCTTTCCCCTTCTGCAAATTGGTTGTGACAATGCACTTTAGTCCTCAAAATTTCGCTTTCTCTGCTATTGGCTTGGTTACTTATGCATTATGTTTTATTAAATTATTTGCTAGATAAGTGAGTTATCACTCGAACGTTTCAGCGTGAACTTCCTCCTCCGGACCTAGCGCTCCTCTCGATTGACGACGAAGATGAGGAGCTACCACCACCTCCACCCACCCTCATGCATACGAGCGTCGTTAATCATCTGCCGTCTCCCCCTCCCAGCGCTATGCAACTTGTGCCAAGCGATGCTCAGGCTGTGGTAAGATTTCTGTCATTTAGTTCGGAATTCCCCACACTTTTGATTTTTTAAGCAAGATTTTCGTATCTTCTATGTGTTTTTGATTTCATTTTTCTCTTGGTTTTTCGTTTCTCTTTCTACAAAAACATTTTTCTTTGATTGTCCAACGCATCTTTAAGGTTCCTCCTCCTCCGCCGCCCCCACCGCCGCCACAAAATCTGATTACGCCGTCAGCTCCGTCAGCGGCAACATTCGGAGGAGTTACTAAGGTACATTATGTCAATAGAAGGAATTTCTGAAGCCTTAAGAATTGTCTATTGCGCAGCGCTTCGAGTATTTAGTTTTATTTCTGTTCTATATAAAACGGTGCATAGAGGAGTTTTAGGAAGAAAGAAAGTGAGAATTTGAGTAAAAGCCTAAGATCGGTGAAAGATTAGAGCGGATGCAAAAAAAAGAGTTAGTTCGTCTTCTGTTCCTCTGAGGCCCTTATCTTAGGTATTAGAGAATCATCCTCTGCGACGCATCGAAGAAGTTAGCAGTAGGCAGTGCAATCAGTCTTACCTTGATGCTTTTTTTGCCATGCTTGGGAGTGTCCATTTGACGAACTCTAATACATTTCTATTCGTAAGCTCCCACTTCTGGGAGAGGATATATTACAGAAGTTCACTGGGCCCACTGATTTTTTGTTTAAGACTTCAACGGAAACTGAAGAGGAGGAGAAGAAACCCGATACGAGGAGTAACTTGCTCGCCGAGATTCAAAGTGGAATCAAGTTGAAGAAGGTTTATCAGTT